CTCTTGAGATATCAAAGATACCCTCAAGCCCAAAGTTGTTCGTATCATTCATATGAACAACGTAATTTTTTTTCCAAATTTTTTTGAATTATTATTTTTTCGGTTATTATTTTTTTTTTGCGCAGGGTCGGATTTTCCATATCCGAAATTAATCCGGAAAATTCATCGAACATGTTTAGGAGGCGTTCGGTCGAACACCTGAACATGCTCGGACGTTCGGAAAAGCTCCAAACATGTTTGGTGTGCTACATAGCCTATTTTAATGCAAGTGTAGTAACACAATCGTACAACAGCTAAAATATCCCACGAACAACGGTCCCCTTCACCTCAATCAAGGCTACCTTCATGTCCTCGCTGTTCCAAACACCCTGTAAAGAGTCCGAGCTGCCATGACGGGTTTCCCACCACACACCCTTGGATCTTTATGGTATAGCGACTACAATGGGTACACCTCAAGTTTGTTTTTCATCGGCTCTCTCATACCATCTCACTAGTACTAGTCAAGTAGCGTTCCCACCGCCCCTTATTACACTCTCACTGTTCCAGAAGGCGTCGTTGCTGGTAGTACCATCGGTTTTGCCCTGAACCACGTTAAAACTGTCTCTCTCTCTCTCTCTCTCTCTCTCTCTCTCTCTCTCTCTCTCTCTCTCTCTCTCTCTCTCTCTCTAAGCCATAAGCCACTGTACCTTCTCAAAACAACTGTAAGGACTACACCAAATAATATCTCCCTTCCTACCTTGGCAAGAGAGTCTGTGTTCCCTGACACACTAGATTCTAGAATCAACAGTGGCATATGCTAATCCTTCACAGTCTAAACATCATATTAAACTAATCTAACTTGGATTAAAGCCACGTTCAATACGTCTAAAGAAAAATTCAACTTCAGCTCACAGGGACCACATAGTCACTTTACCGAGTCTACTCTCAGTCGATCTAAACCGAAGTTATGTAACCAACACTAAGTTTGACTAGAATCATATTCCTGTTTCAATAAATGTAGAGAAAACAATCAGAATTTTTTTGGGAGAGAAACTCAACTTCGAGGGTAATAGCAATTCTCTCACGGTGAGAACAATGAATCTCACCTATGATAGTTTCATACGGACAGGCGAACCAGGACACGTCTCAAGTATCCAAATCTGCACCCCAATGAGTCAACCTTCCCACTTGTTCTTCTCTTTGTTGCAAATAAAATTTATGTGCTAAAGCGCAGACTACGTAGCAATTGCGACCCAATTGAATCCCTGGCACAACTCGTTAAAATAACAGGACACAGGTGTAGCCTGTAAAACCAAAATCATGCCCGTACGTACTACAACCAGACGAAAGAAGTCAACTACATTACAACCTAATTCTTTCCCTTTACACAACCCGACTGGAAGCACAACTAGTTTGGAAAGGAAGAAACATGTTGTCGACACAGTCTATATCAAGCAACCAATGGCTATGCGCCTCAGCTATCTTAGACATAGGAAATCAAACTAATGACCAAACTAGCAACCAAGGCCAGGTATAGAACCCTCAAATTTTGAAGGAGCTGACACTCCTGCTCTAGAAAGTGTAGACGCACTCCCATTATTACTTCACACTGTCTCACCAGTAACAACAATGTTGCCCCCATTAGTTCTGTGTAGGGTTTACCCCAACCCCTGCAAGATGTAGTAAATGTATTGAGCCAAAAATACCGCCAGAACGAGGAAGATTCATTCTTGTGTGTGTGTGTGTGTGTGTGTGTGTGTGTGTGTGTGTGTGTGTGTGTGTGTGTG